TATTGAGATCACGATTGCTCCTCCCTATGTATGTGTGACCACATACACATTGGTAAACACAGTGGTATGTGACACAACCGTTTTCTTTTCTTTTAGGTTTTGGATAAAGCATGCACCTTGTTCTTTCCTGTATAATGACCTTTGCTGCGCAATACGTTTTATTGATTACTGATTTAAGTCTTTGTTTCAACAAAAAACTACTTGAATCACCTCTGAATGGTAAGGCGATGTAGACAGGCTTTTTTTCCACCAAGCTACAGTAGGTCTCACTGTACCACGGACTTTCCATTTATTTATGAATTTCAAAGGATAGCCATTTTCCATTAATGTTTTATTTGACAACTTAACATCATCATCAATGGTATTATTTGTACAAATACGATGAACCCTACTGAATAGGTACCTTATCAAGCAACGTTTGTATTGCACAGGGCAATAACTATAATAACTAAGGTATTGACCTGTCCACGTTGGTTTTGTAAAAGTGGGTCGTTTGACTGAGCCATCTTCTCGTCTACTCAGAAGTACATCTAGGAAGGGATGCTGATCGTTCCTCTCCTCTTCACATGAGAGACTGATATGGTTTTGAAGAGTGTTAAATTTATTCAATAAGCAGTATATATCCTCTTTTCTTTCACAAACAACTAAGATATCGTCCACATATCTTTTATAAAGTGACATGTTTCCGATTAGGTCATCGGCCAGATTTTCAACATGTGCCATGAACACATCTGCTAATAATGGACTAGCCATAGCAACCCCATCAATCTGACGAAGGTATTCACCTGCAAAAATGAACTGAATTTTGTCAGTACATAATAATAGTAAATCTTTAAGAATTTTTACAGGGACACGTGGTCGGAGATTGTTTAAAGATATGTTATCACATAATATATCAATAGTTTTTTTCAAAGGTACATTTGTAAACAGGGAATTTACATCAAATGAATACATTGTCTTTTCCTTGATATTAATATCACCTAAGTGATCAACCAGTTCAAAAGAATCCTTCAGAGGATACTTACATAGATGTCTTCGGATAGGGTTCAACAATTTTGTTGGCCATTTAGCCAGGTCATTTGTAGGTGCTCTGCACATTGATAAAATTGGACGTAAAGGAAGATTCCCTGCACATACTATTAAAAGGTTAGATGAACTTGTCAACCTTAAATGTAAAATTGTATCGAAACACGTGAAACTGAACTTCTATAAATCTTGTTTGTCGAGTCACATATTCCCAAATCAACTATATAAGAATTTCCGTTCAAGTAAATTACAACTGAATATTTCAAATGTCATTCGACTGTCGAAATCGCATATAGATAATTGCCAAGATAAACTGATCGATTTAATTGAATTACACATTCAAGCATTGCATATATTGAATGAAATATCTATAGTCTTCTATAGTAAACTCACCAACTTTTGTTGTATGGTCATTTTGAAAACAAAGGAAAGGATCGGTAAAAATCTTGTACTATTACTAATCATGTTAATTTATTCCCAGTTAATCCTGATAAGTATGTCACTAATCTATCTTCCATTGTATTATCTGCTAATGAAAAGGAGGGCACTCTCTCTCTTGGTTTTAATTTCTCTGTCCCTATAACACAAATGTCAGAATTGGAAATATATGCCCAATTTGTAAATCTATACGATCAACTGAGTACTCTAACCCCTACATCTTTAAATAATCAAAGCTTGTGGAATTACCATCTGATGATTGAGATGTATTCATTCAATCGATTCACAATATTGCATAACTATTTAATAATTCTATTGTCCATTTAAGAATACTCATCTAATGTTTGTTTTTCCTTATATCTTTACCGTACTTTGAAGTAAAACAAAAATAATTCATTTCGTTCTATACAAGTTTACCATTGTAAACTGTGTGCGTAATTGAATTTCTCTTTTAACAGTTTTTTTTCTTCTTTAGAACAGTTAATAATATGTTATTGGAATATCTTTATGGTGGTCCAAATAGAATTGAAGCTTCTTCTTCAGCAGTAGCAGTGAATGCATATTATAACACTTGTAAAATTCATTAAGACAACTATATTCTATTTCTGTAAACAAAATCAGTCGGTGAATAAAAACAGTTACATTTCTTTTGATTTCGTTTTTTTCTCCCAAAAAAACGTTTGAAGACTGAATAATGTAATAGTTGATTAATTAGGCAAACAGAAATATTATGATGCTTATATGCTTAATGAAACTAGGCTTTGTAATTACTTTTTAGACATTAAAAAAATACTTCAACTCCTTCTTTCTTTTATATACTCTACCGCTATTTCTACATATCTAAGGAAGAAATATTTTACTGTCAGTAAAGGGTTGTGGAGTTTGTTGAATTTTATTGATGTAGTTACCTATCAAAGACAATGTAAGATGGTTGTGCAAAATCGTTGAATCATTGAAGTTAAACATTAACATCATTAGGTGGCGACTCAGCAATCTAAAGGTATAGCATTCGTGTGCAAGGTCGTGAATCCACACTGCTGAAGAGTCCTTTACTCAAAAGAAATGGTCATCCGAAGCTCCAAGATTTTTAGTGGTGGTCTAACTCAGTTCTGCTCTGGATTGCAATGAAAATTATTATATTTTCATATGTCTTGAAGACAAAGTTGAACTTAAGCATTTTGCTTGTTGAGATTTGTAAGTGAGACAGATCTTGACAGAAACTCATTGTCCAAAATACATAACCAGCCCATGTGTTATCAACAAACAAATTGTGCAGCAAAGGTCATTATCAAGGAAACAAAAGGATCATGCTTCATCGAAAACCTAAAAGACAAGAAAACGATGGCGTCACATACCACTGTGTTTAATAATTTAAATGTGTGTGGTCACACATACATAGGGAGGAGCAATCGTGATCTCAAAATTAGGGTTTGTGAACATGTACCTGAATGGTTACAGAAACAATCAAGTGACACGATAAGAGTAGAGGACAAATATCTATCTTTCTGTATAGCCTAACACATGACTGAAACAGGTCATAAGAGCGATCTTCACCCATCTTTTAAGGTGTTGTACAAAAAATGTAAAAGGGTTTATACTATGGCCATAGCCATACGAAAATTCAAACCCCTTTGTGTAATCAAAAACAAGTAGGTTAAGCGTTCGCGCGCGAGACAGAAGTCCCTGGGTTCGAATCCCGTGAGTGTGATCATGGATGAACACTGTGGAGGAGGCTATCATGGAAAACCTGGAACCACTAGACGGCCGTTTCATCCTATTGTGGGACTCCTCAGCAATGCGCATCCACAATGTCGCCCCCGGTGAGATTCGAACCCAGGACCTATTATTCTCGCGCGCAACCACTTAACCACTAGACCACTGAGTCGGCGTATGCTGAAAAGTCCCACAATAGGACGTAATGGCCATTCAGTGCTTCCAGGTTTTCCATCATGACCTAGCTTCAATTGACTCATGTTTTCAACCGTTACTATTTTAAATTCACTAATTTTCCAGTTTTATACTATATATTTAATAAATGTATGATCTATAACATTTCAGAACATTTCTTCCATCCATTGTATATTGTATAATGGATACTGTAGAAATTTACAGATACCATTAATATACTATCTCTAAGTTCTATCATTTCTATTATGTTCTTCATTTCATACTGATTTCTTATTTAATTGTTTTAAATGAACAATAATTTTGTTTTTCTTTTCTTTCTTTATTATTTATTCATAAATTGAATCCATGTATTTATGATTTTGTTTAAATAATTAGAAAATAATAATTACTTAAACAATATTGTTGAAGGTCAAATGGGAAACAACATTCAATCATATGATCAATCAATCAATAAAATATTACATAATCTTAATGAATAATATATTGTAAAAGAGGAGAAAAAGAGAACAGGTTATAAATGATTGAAATAATTAGAAACAAGAAATTTAATATATAAACAATTAATAATTAAATGAGAATCTATGTGAAATGAAGTTGTCAATGTTTATTTCATTCTATAGATAAGTTAATATTTGACTTGAATATGTTTACAATTATAAAGTCTCAATCTAGAGTAAATTATATTTGGGAAGATATTTGAAAGATACACCTAGAGTTCTAGTGAGAAGCCGTGATCAGTGGAGTTCAACCAGATCTGTTGTGAGATATCAACTCACTAAAGACAATGATGTGCGGTGGCGCAACTTGGTGGATTGGTTGAAGTTAAACAATAACATCGTTGGATGACGACTCAGTGGTCTAGGTTAAGCACTTGGCGCGAGACTGATAGGTCCTGAGTTCGAATCTATCGGGATGCGGGATCGTGGATGAGCACTGCTGAGGAGTCCCATACTAGGACGAAACGGCCGTCCAATGCTTCCAGGTTTTCCATGATGGTCTAACTTCAATTGACTCATGATTTCAATCAGGTAAATTATATTTGTTTTTAATGAACTTTTGAATGTATAGGATAGTTAGTTTATCCATATTAGTACTGTATAATTTTAGTATATTGAAGGATAGAGATTTGAAACATTATGTTTGGTAGTGACAATGTCGTAATTCAGTCATTGGATTAGAATTTTACGGTTGAATTAGCTATTTTTAATTACTTAGTAACTACTTTTTTAAATACGATGAGTGAACATGCATTCCAACTCCACCTGGAGTCCCTCTGGGGGCTACTGCCGATCCAAAGCCTGGATAAAGAACGAGGGTTGAGTATGGTGTTAGCGAGCCCATCCCGAAAAAATAACTCGCTAAAAAAACGCTAAAACGAACATGCATTCTTATTGCGGATCACACTAATTTTACAAATTATAGTGTCTATCTAACAGTAATAGGGAACATTTAGTGTTTAATATTAAATGAACTTCTCAATAAGACTCAGTAGAGAGAAACATTCATTTGAGAGTAAACATTTTAAAACAATCAATATTTACAAGACAAGAATCATGAAGGTGTTTTTCGTAAATGAATAATGAAAAAATAATCTACATTTTCTTCTTACAAATTAAATATAATTTAATTTATTTCAGTGTTAAATGAATAAATATTTGAACAAAAGTATCAAATATTATAGAATGAATAACAAGTAACACGATTACCAAGAGAATATAGAAAACCTTGTACGAAATGAACATATGTAAATGCATCATCATCATCATCATCATCATCATCATCATCATCATCATCATCATCATCATCATCATCATCATCATCATCATCATCATCATCATCATCATCATCATCATCATCATCATCATCATCATCATCATCATCATCATCATCATCATCATCATCATCATCATCATCATCATCATCATCATCATCATCATCATCATCATCATCATCATCATCATCATCATCATCATCATCATCATCATCATCATCATCATCATCATCATCATCATCATCATCATCATCATCATCATCATCATCATCATCATCATCATCATCATCATCATCATCATCATCATCATCATCATCATCATCATCATCATCATCATCATCATCATCATCATCATCATCATCATCATCATCATCATCATCATCATCATCATCATCATCATCATCATCATCATCATCATCATCATCATCATCATCATCATCATCATCATCATCATCATCATCATCATCATCATCATCATCATCATCATCATCATCATCATCATCATCATCATCATCATCATCATCATCATCATCATCATCATCATCATCATCATCATCATCATCATCATCATCATCATCATCATCATCATCATCATCATCATCATCATCATCATCATCATCATCATCATCATCATCATCATCATCATCATCATCATCATCATCATCATCATCATCATCATCATCATCATCATCATCATCATCATCATCATCATCATCATCATCATCATCATCATCATCATCATCATCATCATCATCATCATCATCATCATCATCATCATCATCATCATCATCATCATCAGTTTAAAGTTTATGTAAAAGTGAAGTATTCGAATTCCTCCATATATGACTCACAACTTATCCTATAGACTATAATATTGATATTGTAGATGTTATTTCTTTGATAAAGTCCATAAAATTCAGTGGTGAAATACTGAAAAAAAACTTAACTCAAATCATAGTTAATGCTAAGTGGCATGAAATAAAAATCAGCTAATTATATGTTAACAATGATAAAGTAACTACTGTTGATCAATTTTTTTGTGCTTCACTAACCTGAAACCTGTAAGTGTCTTATTATCATCGTTTTCTTAAAAAAAACAACGTCTTTAACCACTTGATTAAATAATATAATTTTAAATTCAGAAGGTGTTTTTGTGGATATTTTAGTAATTTCAATAGTTAACATCATGAGTTAATTGAAGCTATGACCACCAAAGAAAACCTGGAAGCACTGGACGGCTGCTTCGTTCTAGTACGGGACTACTCAGCAATTAAGTAATTTATTACATTATTAATCATTGAACTAAATAGTTCAGTTAAAATTTTAAATGTCGTGATGAAAAAGAAATCAAAGTTAACAAAATAAATGTTTATGCATATGATACTACATATAAATAATACCATGATGTATGCTACTGATATTGACAGAGATAAGTAGTATGTAACATCGATCAGAAGTGAAACTGTCTAGCAGTAGAACATTGAGAAGATTGAAATGAATTGAACAAGAAAGAGATACAGTGAATTATTGCAATAATAACAGAATTGAAGTCTATAAAAAGAAAACACAACTGAATGAAGATGTACAAATAATGTATTTAACGTATAGTATTCATATTTTATTAAACCATTTTATATGATTTTGTGTTTAACAATAAATTGAACTTCAGCATTTGAGCTCTCTATTCCCTTCAATACTTTAAACTTATTCTTTAACTAGTACACTATAACGGATCATTCATGATTAAATGATGCATAAAAATGTGAAAGGTTGTATTGGAATGTATGCATGATTGACTTCTAATATAAACTACCATTAGAAAATATTTAAAAAAAAGACAAAGAATACTATGAGTTGAAAACATTCATGATAATATTCAAAAAATTAAGTTCATTCATTCATTCCAATAAACAATGGATAACTCAAATGCTTCATAATAATAATAATAATAATAATAATACATGTATATGATGGATATAGATTTCACTCCTAATTGAACACTAAGCAAATTAATCAATTAAATAATTGTAAATAAATCTGGGCAATAAAACAACCTAAATATATAATTGCAAACTATATCACAAGGCAAGTGGTAACTTGGAATCCTGAAAGGGAAATGGAGAAGAGGGAGGTCGTAGAACATATTACGTCAGAAATTGGTAACAGACATGATAAGAATGAATAGTAAGTGGAAAGAACTGGAAACAGCTGCCCAGAATAAGGTTGGATGGAGAGTGTTGTTGAACAGCCTATGTTCGTCCACAAGGAGCAACAGGCGTAAGTAAGTAATTATATAATCGAGATAATACCTAATAATGAATATGTGTTTAAAACATTATTCAATAATGCCATTATTAACTAGAATTAAAGTCAAATTAATTTAGTTGTGTAAATTATAGATTTGCCTAAACTGTAAATTGGGAAAATTGTCGTACAACAAAAAATGATATGAATTATTTGCTTCTTCTTACTTAGTCATAAGATTCATAATATTGTTAAAGTGAAATGTTGTTACATATATAAGAACTTTTGTCTAAATTTAAATGGATAGTTTCACATGATTTGGGCGCCAAGTTGATGTAATACATTGAGCAGAAAGAATGTATTTGTGAAATCTTGGCAAATGAATTTGTAGTAAATCCAACATTTCAAGGAAGTGTTTCCTTGAAAAAGCCTGGACCAGATGGCTGAGTGAAACGTTGGATTTACTACAAACTCATTCGCCAAGATTTTACAATTACATTCTTCCTCTTGAATAACTTTTGTTAAAATTTTGTTAAGAATCCCTATCATTTGAATGATTCATGTTGGTGAGTTATTACTTCTAATGAAAAATTGAATCATATGTATTAATAGTGGTCCCGACCGTTGCTGCTATCTTGATGAACCAGCCGACCTATACTGCCTGGAACAATCATTTCTCAAGGTTCTACCAAGCCAGACAGGTTGACTGAAGAGCAGTAAGACTAGAAGCAGCAAACCCAAGATCGGGGACGAAGTCGTACTGCTGACTGTACAAACGTGTAACTGCAGTAAGGTGCTCCCTTCAGCAATCAGTCAGTCAGAACTTCGTACGTACGTACATCATTTCGAGTTACCATAACACATTAGCACAGAGATACAAGTGTCAATTCAAATCCTTCCTTCAGATAACCAGCCTAACAGCGATGTTGCCTTCCCGCAAGGAAGGGTGGGGTTACAAAAGATCGACACTACAAATGTACACCTAACCTTATCCCATGGATTTCTGTTTCACAACAATTACGAAGCTAACATAAAAACTACTCACAAAATGATCGTGGGTGACCGGTCCCATACAATTGTCCCTTTGGCACTGCGGTCACACTCTCAGGTCATTAAGACCACCTCTAACCTAGTTTCCTTTTCAGGTAACTCTAGAAGAACTCTTACACAGTGTGGGCAACTGGGAAGTGATAACCGTCCTCATACCTCTAAGAGCATTCATAATCAATCTTAATAGTGGAGGCTGGACTAATTAGTGAGGAACAGAAACTGAATAATACTACTTTTATACATTCTTAAACAAAGACGTATGAATGAAGAGCAATATTGAGTTTTGAAAATTATTTTGCTCTCTGTGTAAGTGTTATGAAACCAAACATCATTTTAATTCATACTTATTGGTTGTTTAAATCTTCCCATTGATGCTTCGACCACATACGAGTACGTGCATTCTTTATGGATTGCCTCAATATTTCCACCAAGTCACAAACATTTGTAAGAAGACTTGGATGGTAGCTGACATTTGGATCCAAGAAATCTATCTGGAAATTTCCAAACAGGACTTAATACGTGTCCTGGATTTCCTGCTAGCCACTACTTACCTCAGCTTAACAATCACTAGTTTGTTTTAAATTTGTATTTTATTTAATAAATAATTTGAATCGTATAGTTGACTACATTTTATTCGTATTACTTGTATGTCTCCAAACTATCAGTATGAACCAAGATGACATGTTTAAACTATTTGTCCAAGTATACCTTATTTTATTTCAGTCATATTGGTTATTCGATGTCATCCCATTAAAACACACTGTCAAATGAGTATTTAAACAATAAAATAAGAACAAACACATCAGTTGTATTTAATCAATTCAGATAACCACGAGAATATAATCCAAGTCACAGATTGATTTCATATGCTCACACAATCAAAATCAAATAGTAATCAAGGTTTCAGCGGTTCACATCTACAACCGAGACAGAGAAAACTGTGGAGCTGTAGATCTTATAGTATGCGCTTAACCATCATAACACTGAACTAATGATCTATACTTATAATTATTTGATTGATAGGTATTAGGTTAGAGCCGAGAATTGGAAGCAGACATGGAAAAAAAATGAATAGCAACTAGAAAGAACTGGAAAGGATTACCCAAGACAGAGTTGGATGGAGAGTGCTGGTGGGCAGCCTATGCTCCTCCACGAGAGGCAACAGGCGTAAGTAAATAAAATATGTTAAGCACAATGTAAGCATCATAAAATCAACCTTTTAAATGATTCTATTAAAACCATAGTTCATGAAATAATTCTGTTTCATTCACTTAAAATAGAATAAAAATATTAGAATAAGACATAATTGACAAATAAATTTATGGATAAAAATACTCATGGGATAATAAGAAAAATTCCATAATGGATGATGGATTTTTAGCTAAAAATAGATTTTCACTCTAAAAAAACACAAATTGTGTATATAATGAAAACGGAAAGGATTAGATTATTTCTTTGAGGGGAATTTAATTGATACAGTCATTAACATTCATGAAGAACTAATCAAAGTAGTACTTTTCTAGTAATTATCGAGTTTCGCGTTTTGAGCAGTTTTCGGAAGAATCTCTTAAAGTTTACATGGATAATATAATATGGGGAGGGGGATTGAAGAAGCTAAGGCGATTGTTGACACTCATGATCTGAAAATACGGAGCTGAATAGAAGGTAGATTTATAGACGCTAAGTGGTAATGAGTCTTAAGTTGGAAAAAGATCACTATCTAATCCTCAACGAGTAAACATTAGTTCTTAAGATGATTATCATTAAATGAATCAAATGAATGTTATTTCATTAAGAATGTTAGTCAAATTACAGATATGCTTGACATAAAAACATAAAGAAAATCTAAATCCACTTGGTGTTGTTGTACTTTGCTTAAAAAGCTTGTGACATAAGGCTACATCGAGGCAATCAACACAGGATATACATATGCCAACATGAGACTGATCAGTTGCAGTCCTAAATAACAATGGGAAGATACAAGTAAAATAACAAAAAATTAATTTAACCTTCACCTCATTGCACAAGCAAGTGGCTATCAGGACTCAGTAGCTAGGTGAAAAACGCGATAATGTTTGAGGTGAACGGTACTGGGTTGAAGTCCCAGAGTGAACGTCAATTCTGAGATGTAGTTGCATCCAGCTGACGAGTCCCAAATAGGACGAAGCGCGCACCCTAGACTCCACTGCTAGCTACTATCCATCTTTGCTTATAATGAAAATCTGTTTTTTCAGTTACCAGATGATGGGAAGCAGAAAATAGCATAGTAATTTATTCTATACTTTTATCAAAAACATGTAATAAAGTTGTGTCACTCCTTCAATATTTGAAGTTTGACATTAATTGGCTTACTAAATCATGAAGTATTCAACACTAATGAAAACTAACACAGTTATCGTAAAATAGCTCCTCCTCGAATTTCAGAATGCCACTTATTATTATTTTAGCATATTATTCACTAAAAACCACAGTTTGAGTCTACTCAACCAGGATAATCGGCAA